AAGAATGTGTAACCAGTGGGGGATTGTTACCGAAAATAGAGCCCTATATAAGTACCATACAAGTAAAAATCTCTATAAACCCCTGGTATACTCAATAAAGTTGGCTTCTGATCTACATTCGGATATCCCTGTGTCTCCATCATCATTTACCCCCCCTGGGTGGGGGGAAGAGGTTGGAGAGATTCCTTTCACTTCTCTTTGTCCTGCTGTGATTTGGTTGGTAATAAATTCACTCCCTGTGCCGAGGCTGGGTCTATTTTGCCAATGCCGGTGCTCTGGGCGGGATCACTCCCATTCCTGCTCTCAACACCCAGGCCTCTCCACAGCCAATCAGAGAATGTGATGAACAAGAGTCAGCCAATCAGAGAGAGCAGGTCTGATGACTCACCACTTGCTGGGCAGACCCTCAGCACCCAGTGTTCCCCACCTGGCCCACACCCTCCCTGCCCAGTCACACCCCAATCCTCCCTGCCCAATCACAGGAGGTCTCAGACAGGTGCAAGGCCATGGGAAGGGGCTGTGGCCGCCACCAGCTCAGGAGCTCTGTGGGCAGAGAACAGGGGGTGACACCAGGACTGGGGACACTCACAGGACTTCCCTTCATTGTGCCTCCATTTGTGTTGGCTCAAGTGAGAGCTTCTGGAGAATCTCTTCCCACACACAGGACAGTCATTGGGGCTCTCCCCAGTGTGGATGTGCCTGTGGGTGACGAGGGTGGAGTTGTGCCTGAAGCCCTTCCCGCAGTGGGGCAGCGGAAGGGCCTCTCCTCTGTGTGAATCTGCTGATGTACTGAAGCACAGACAGACAACTCTTCAACTAATTAAAGTTGAAAAGAAGGATATTTTATTGCAGTTCTGGACACATGAGGAATCATTTCCAAATGCAGGTGCAAGGAGTTGCAGACTCCGGCTCTTTATACAGAAAAGGCTTTACATATCCAAGCAGTTTCTAAGGAGTTGTAGTACAAAATCATTACCTGCCCAATTTGTATTATAATCAGCTGAATACCTAATATGGCTGCGCACTTGCACTCCCTTAATTGGGTCAGTGGGATTTTGAAATAAGGGAGTGGGCATATGGGAAGAAGAAAGCTCTCTTTCTCATGGTAAACTCTTCACCCATGGCCAGTTGGCAGGACTTTTTGATCTGCTGATCACAATCCAAGCCTCTCCTAACTGTTTGATTATTCTTAAGGCAAGATATTTCTATGGTCTCTGCTCCTTCACAATTGCTACATCTATCCCTGTCACTCCTAGCTTTACTTTTCTAATATATTTCTTACTCTTTCACTAAGGTATATGATTTTCGCTAATTAACTTAGCTTCTTAACTAATTTTAAAATCTTAGCTAAAATATGTAACCTTCTACTATCTCAATAATATTCCCAGCTGGCCCTGGACTCATCCAGAGTTTTCAATTATCATAAATACATTTCCAGCTGACCCTTTGACTCATTACGATGAGATTGCAGCTGCTCAGAAACCAGTTCCTACACTCAGGACACTCATAGGACCTCTCCCCAGTGTGGATCTTGCAGTGATTGATGAGGTTGGAGCTCCACCCAAAGCACTTCCCACACTCCCCACATTTGTAGGGCCGTTTCCCCATGTGGATCACCTGAAGCCAGATCACATCTGAGCTCCAGAGCTCTGGCTGAAGCCCTTCCCACATTCCAAGCACTTGGGTGGTTTCTGCCAGCCATGAGTTGTCTCCACCACCTCTGTGTTCCAAATGGATCTCCAGCTGCCTTCTGGATACAGGGGGCATCTTTGCTCCTCACAGCTCCCAGGGCTGCGTTTGCAACTCCTCCTTATATGGGATCTCCAGGGCTTATCCTCCCCATTGGATTCCCATGCCATGGAGCTGCTCAAAATGGCCTCTTCCATAAGGTTCTGCAGCAGGGATTTGCTCTCCCTGGTCTCTGTCTGCACCTCAGTGTCTGGGGTAGAGAAAGGAAAGGAAGGAATGAGGAAGAAAGAAGGACAGAATGAGAAAGGGAAGGAGCTATGGACAAGGAGAGGATGGGATTTGCCTCTGTGCCAGAGGGAAGGGGAAGGAGATCCCCCCAGTTCATCCCTGGCAGGACAGCATTGGTAGTGGGCATTGTCCTTCAGCCAGGGGAAATGTTGGTCTGAGACATGGAGCAGAGGAGAGGGGGACAGGGGCAGCGACTTCCTTCTCACTTGCCTCAGTGTCCCATGCCATCTTCCTTTTCCTCGCAGCCTCCTCCATCTCCATCCAGACAAAGTTTGGGATTGACAAATCCTGGCTTGGGGGAAAACAATGGGTGAGACCCTTGGTCCTGCTTCCCAAGCCCAGCTCAAGAAGTAACCGCCCTGTTCACGGTCGGATGGGCCAAGACCCTGCTCATCTCCAGGTTTCCCCACCCCTCCAGGCTGCCGGGATCCCCCAGCTCCAGGACTGGCCTTTGCTGCTCTCCCCACTGTGATGCCAATCAGAGCCCCAAAATCAAGGTCCCCCCTCAACTGGTACCACTGCCCCAGCCAGTACAGACAGTTTGCCACAGGAACCCTCCACAATTCTCCACAGGGGCATCTGCATCTCACTTTTGGGGCATCTGCAAGATCCAAACATCCCCTCCCCTGCAAGAAACCTTCCCAGAGATCCCCCGATGGATTTGGGGTGAGCTCCCCCTCCCCGCTCACCTGTGAGATCTGGGGGGTTGATGCTGCCAGGGCCAGGGGAGCTTCAGACTCAACGGGCAAGCAGGAAAACCATAGGGTTCTGCTGCGGCTCCTCCTCTTCCTGTTCCTGCTCTTCCTGTTCCCATCCCCCGCCTCCTCTCTCCCTCCTCTTCCTATTGCTCCTCCTCCCTGCCCACTCCAAGTCTTCCTTTTACACCCTTCTCTCTCCCATGGCTGCACGATTTGGGTGGAGGAAACCAGGGAACTTCCCATGAGCCCCCCAGGGATGGGCAGGGGGCTTGGGAACCCACCCAGTGCAGATCCATTCCCCTCCAGAGCCCCAGGGAATCACTCCAAGGATCAAGCGATGGGGACACAATGGGATCCCCACCGAACCACCCTTTGTCTATCCCATCCCCTCTCCCATCGTTCCCCCAACCCAAGAACCTCTCCCAGCTCAATCTTGGGATCCCATCCCTCTCACACTCTGAATCTTCTTTTCCCCTGCACTCCTACCCCTTTCCCATCGTGCCTTCAACTCCACCTCTCGTCCCTGTGTTTGGTTTTGGGGGATACAGGCCCCTCCTGCTCAGTCTGGGCGGGTCAGATCCCCCCTTTCCCTTAATTCATGCAGCTCCTGGATGCTTTTTCCTGGGACGAATCCCTGAGTTTTGGGACTTTTGGGGAGTCGTTTAGAGTGTAACATCTCTGACCGGCTTTCCCCTTCCTGTTGTAGCCCCTCAGCTGCCCCTGACACCCTGGGGGTGCTGGGATTTCCCTCCTGGGGACAAGGACGTTCATCCCCTTCCAGGAGCCCAATGCCTGGCTGGGGCTCCAGGTCAGGGGGTCCTTGAGCAGCTGCCCCAGAACTTCCCCCAGGGTCACCCAGCAGAGCGAGAGCCACTCGGCCTGGGGCCCCCAAAGGCCTCAGTAAGTCCCAGGTCCCTCCCAGGAACCCTCAACTCCCTCAAACCCAGCATCCCCCACATGCCCTATAAGTTTCCCCCATGGCACTGGCCATGGCCATGTCCCCACATGTCGCTGACCACGTCCCACCATGTCCTCACCCATGCCTGTCTCCCCACCATGTTTCCATCCCTGTCATTGTTCCCCACATCTCCATCCATGCCCGTGTCCACACATGTCCCCATGAATGGCTATGGCCCCCTCCATGTCCATGTCTCCCTATGTCAGTCTCCATGTCTGTGTCCCACCATATCTGTGTTGTACCATGACCACACCCATGTCTTAGTTCAATGTCTACTTTTACCTCAAGATTAGATATTTTAAAGGGATGAAGAGAAATTAAAAGAAAATCAAGACCATAACAAAAGGATTTCAGTGTCCATGCTGGCTGAGGATCCACGTGCTTGGGCAGAAGGCAAGAACCTTTTCTGGTGGAGTTTCTATCCCACTGTCTCCAAAATCTTGGTCTTTTCCCCAGTTTTTCACCATTTGGTTACGGAAGACACCCTTGGGCAATAGGAAATCAAAATTGTGGAATCCCTGAAGTTGGAAAAGACCTTGTCCCGGCTCAGGGCAAATTTGGGAGAGAACCCCCAAAGGGGTTCCTCTAGACAGCAGATTCAATTGGCCCCTCCCCCAACTGGTTCAGGAAAAATAAAAGACCTCCTTGAAGAAAAGTGGAAAACCCTGTTTATTACACAATAAAACCTAAACAGTATTAAACAATAAAACCTCTTGCTGCTCTAAAAGAGAAACAAACTCACAAAGTCCCCTCCGTGGGCTGTAGCTTGGCTCACTCAGTCTCTTATCAGTCCCTCTGGTGCTGGAAATGCAACGGCCCAGGCCCGGCCTGGTGGGCCACAGGTGTGAGCTGCCGGTGCTCCCCTGGGTGTTCAGGCCAGAGCAGGTTTAAACAGGTCCAAAGAAAAGGGAAAAAACCCCACAGTCCAGGGAACTTCTTTGCCTCAACTAGCTAAAACTAACTAAAAGCAAAGGAGAGCTCTGTCTTGCCGTTTGTCCAACCACAGACAACACAGCACAGGAGCAGGAATGTGGAGGAGTGAGTGTCGAGTCTGAAAACAAACTGCACGCTGCTTCTCTCCTCCTTTCACTCTCAGGACAAGTCCTAAAGGTACAAAACTTATTATTCAGCATAAACAGAACAGACTGGGGATACAAGCATCATATAGTCCAGTCCACCCTGAACATACCTTCAACACCATTCAGTACTAGCTGATGTTACTAGAACATAGGATTGAATGCAAAAGATTTTATGTGGTTGAAAGTTGAAATCTGCTGTCCCCAAGGAATTCTGTGTCCCAATGGATGTTCCTGCTGCTGCATTTATCTAGCTGCCCACAGGGAACCAGAAAGATGTGAAGTCTCCAAACCAGGTGTCTTCCCAACACAGATCACCAGGACCATGGATCACCAGGGCTCTGCCCAACAACGGTCACTGGGGATCATCCAACGTGGATCCTCTCATGGGGGATGGAGCTGGAGCAGCACACAAAGCTCTTCCCACACTTGGGGCACTCGCAGGGCTTTCCTCAGTGGTGCCTCCATTGGTGTTCTGTCAAGTGAGAGCTCTGTGAGAATCTCATCCCACACTCCCAACACTCGTAGGGCCTCTCCCCGGTGTGGATGCGCCGGTGGATGGTGAGTTTGCAGTTTTGCTTGAAGCCCTTCCCGCAGTCGGGGTAGCGGAACGGCCTCTCCTCCGTGTGAATCCGCTCATGTTTGAGGAGATCGCAGCTCCTGTGAAACCTCTTCCCACACTCAGGACACTCGTAGGGCCTCTCCCCAGTGTGGGTGCGCTGATGTTTTCTCAGGTCAGAGTTCCACCCATAGCTCTTCCCACATTCCAAGCAGCTGTAGGGCCGTTCCCCCGTGTGGATCACCTGGTGCCGAATCAGGGCCGAGCTTCCTCTGAAGCTCTTCCCACATTCCCCACACTCAAAGGGCTTCTCTCCAGTGTGAATCATGTGGTGCTGCACCAGGTAGCCCTTCTGCCTGAAGCTCATGCCACATTCCTCACACTCATAGGGCTTTTCCCCAGTGTGGATCACCTGGTGTCGTATCAGTTGGCCCCTCTGCCTGAAGCTCTTCCCACATTCCCCACACTCAAAGGGCTTCTCCCCAGTGTGGATCCTCTGGTGTTGGATCAGGACGGAGTTGTGGCTGAAACTCCTCCCACACTCCTCACACTCAAAGGGCCTCTCCCCAGTGTGGATCACCTGGTGCTGCCTCAGGGTGGAGCTCCAGCTGAAACACTTCCCACATTCCAAGCATCTGTGTGGCTTCTCCCTGACATGAGGCTTCTTCACTAGCTCTGAGCTCTGGCTGGATTGCAGGATGCATTCCTGGCTCACAGGGGCTCTTTCCTCCCCAGAGCTCCCTGGGCAGGGTTTGCTGCCCCTCTTCATGAGGTACATTTGGGGCTTTTCCTCGTCCTCCATCAGGCCACGCCCTGGGAATGAAAAATCCTGGTTTGGGGAAAAAATCAAGAGGAGAGCAGCTTGGACTGGAAAAACCTCCATGTCCAAGTTTATCTAGAAAAGTCATTGGGCAACTTGTGTCTGTAAGAACCTCCAAAACACCAAGATTCAGCACAGAAATCCTCTGAAGATCAAGATGCAAGTCTAAAATTTCCCAAACGTCAATATTCAGCAAAAACTCCCGCCAAAATAAAGAGATTCAGCCCTCACAAAAAAACAAAAGCACCAACATTTGCCCAATAAAGCTCAGAAACATCAAGATTCAGCCCCCATGAAAATCATGGATTCACCCTACCCCAGTCACCTGATGCATCTGGGGGCACAAAGCTCCTGGGGCTGGGGGGCAGGCTACAGATACAGGGAGGAGTAGAACCTTGTGGTGCCACCTCTTTCTGCTCCTCCTTCTCCTCTGTCCCTGCTCTTCCTCACACTCCTCTTCCTCCTACAACTCCTCCTTCTCCTGCACAATCCCACCTTTTCCTCCCACGTGCAGCATTTGACCAGTTCGTTCCTCAACCCGGCTTCTCCTTCCCTTCTCCTTCTGCCCCAGGCCCAGCTCCCACTGCTGGCTCCCTCTTGCCCCCAAACCCACAGCACCCCACGGCAGGGGCAGGGATGGAGCTGGGGCAGGTCGGGCTGGGGCAGCGTTGGGCTCTCGGCCGCTCCCGCCCGTACTCGGTCCCCACTGCAGCCGCTCCCACCAGGACAGCACAGGGGGGCCCGGCCTTGGCGCTGCCCCACTCCCACCTCCCCAAATTCCCCTCAAGGGGGGCACACATATGGGGAAAGCTGGGAGCTGCAGGTCTGCCCGGCAACTGCTGAGTCATCAGCTCCATGTGCTATGATTGGCTGAGCACTGCCTGAGGGGTGGAGCTGCAGCAAGGCGGGATACCCTGCTCCAGGGGGGATGTCCCACAAATGGGGGACCCCCATGAAAGGAAGAAGTGTAAAGTGTCTTTACAAACAGATGCTGTGAATCTGCTCAGAGATAGAGCCAGGAACTTGTACATAAAGAAGCGACAGGAGAAGCCACCAGTTTCAGAAAATGTTATCAATTGATGACACAGACTGCTGCTCAGGCAAGGTCCTGCTAAATTCATGAACTTCGAGAAGAACAAAGACTTCACAGAGCCATGATAACGGTTTGCTACATAAAAGTAGGGAGCATATCAAGGGGATATGTAGTAGGTGGATTGGGAAGTCTGTTCCTTTCAAGTACTCCACCCAATGGGGAAAGGAAGAGGGAGATGCAGCTGAGAAAATTAGGATGATCAGGAGGCTGTGTCCTCCAACAACTGGAGAGACCCCATAGGAAATGTCCCATGGACCCTGCCTTTTTTTAGGAATTAAATTACTTTTACAGGACTCGTCTGTCTGCTTTGTGGACAGAAACCTCTGGTGATGTCAATTTTTCCACACACCTTGGAACGCGTCTGGAATTCCTTCCACCATCTGGGGCGGCGGGCAGTGAGTGCAGCTGAAGGTGCCTCACCCAGTTTGGGTGATCGGCTCCCTTGGGGGGCAGGAGCACCAGGGATTGATTGGGTACCTGAGAGTGACCAGGAGACAAACAAGTGACACATCAGGGGAGGCTGTGAAGAGTCAGCAGGGAGAGAGCAATGAAAATCTCATCAGTGAGTGCACTGGGATCTTTGGGGAGTGAACATGGCAGGGCACCCACGCAGGGTAGTAAAGAGAAAGCCAGGAAGGGGTCCTGTGCCAAAGGGATGATGATCCCAAACTATCTCTGAAGGGTTCCTTCCGAGAAGGGTGAGGAAGATTGCACATTTCCCCACAGGTAATTAAGGACTTGGACACCCAGGGTGGCAATAAGGGAAGTGGAGAAGGGATTTAGACAAAAGGGGATGGATGGTGTTGGTGTGCTGGGAAGAGACTGGGTGAAGAGGAGTGTGCAGCAATAAGGTTAAGGCAAGAAGCAGCAAGAGGAATCTATGTGGTAAGAAAAAGAAAAGAGGAGGAAGAGAAAAATACCGAGGATTGGGATGTTTTTCAGCAGGGTCTTATCCTCAACCTTTGCCAGCTGATCATTTGTATCCCCGGTTTCCAGGAGAGGAAATCAAGGAGGTCAGGGTTTCAGGGGGTTTCTCTGTGGGGGGCAGCGGCAGCACCGGGCGCAGAGCTGCGGCACCGGGAGCACGGGCTGGGGGCCTGTGGGCAGCTGCGGGGCCGGGCCGGGGCTGTGGGGCAGCCGGGGCTCAGCGCCGGGCGCTGCCTGACCCCACCAGCCCCGGGCAGGGCCGGCAGCGGCCCCCGGCCCCCAGGAGGCTGCGGGACGCCCCGGCCGCTGCCCGGCCCCGCGGAGCTGCCGGCCCTGCCCGCCGGGGGCGCCTTTGGACACTGCGGCAGGACAGGGAGCGGCTCTGGGATACGGGCTGGGGAGGGCACCCTGAGCACAGGGAGGAGGAGCAAGGAACATCTGGGAAAGGCGGATTATAAGGGAAGGATCAAGATATTCTTTGGGTCGCTGGAAAAAAAATGATTCTGCAGAAAGCTCAGCAGTTGTCAGAGGACGAGCACCCACAGGCACTGAGGGGGGCTGCAGGAGGGGCACAAGAAGGCCCTGCAGCACTTGGGCACAAAGGCACAGCAGGTGAATGCAAGAAGGGAGCAGCAAAAGGCCAAGCTGAAGGCAAAGGCCAGGGCACAGTTCCTACAGCCCCTGAGGGATCAACCCCAGGGCCCAAGGGGGCCCCAGCACCCAGGGCACGGCTCGGCCACAAGCACCTGGCAGAGGCATTGCCCTCCTCGGCAGGGGAGAGCCCACCCAAACAGCCCCTGGCAAGGAACCAGGGCTCCAGCTGCAGGGCACAAGGACACTGCAAGCACAGACAGCAGCACCCTCAGGACCAGCAAGTCCACCCCTTGATGGACATGGATTGGCAGGGCTGTCACATCTCCCATCACACCAGGGACCCTCCACACTGCAGCCCTTGAGAACATTCAGGGTGGGTCTGCATTGAGAGGAGGCATTTCCTGATGGACACAGGAGTCTCTCAATCCACTCTGAATCTTAGACCTAATGGGTAAAACAGTAAAGGCATGGTTTAATTATTAAGGGAATAAGTGAGAAAGATGAGCAGGTATGATTTAATCAACCACTATTAGGAGATCTAGGGGATACATCTCCTAATGTTTGAAATAAACGCATTTTTTTTTCTTCCTACTGTGATTGCAACTTACTGGGAAGGAATTAGTGGCTGAATTTTGATATTGTAAAAGGTCATACAGAGGCTTATGCCGTTGTACTTTCTGTCAAATGTCTGGCAAGGCCTATGCTGAAGTGAACCCACAAATGTGGGAAGTCCCAGGGAAAGAGGGAAAATTAGGTATGGAGCCTCACCAAATTACTGTGAAGCAACAAGGACAAGAGGTTGCTTGTATTGATTTAAAATCAATACCCTATTCCAAGAGAGGGAAGGAAGGGCTTACCGCTTATCACTCACTCCCTGTTAAAGGCAGGGTTTTGGAGCCAGGGATCTCTCCCTAGAATACTCCAGTCAACAAACTGGATGGATGGACACAAGGAGGAATCACAGAATTTTCAAGTGTTAAAAAGGAGATTAACTGAGGCTCCTGCCTATTGGAATAAGAATCCCAATATTACCAGGTAGATTGTGCCTGGGCCAGTGTGACCCTTGCTGCTGGGCCAAAGGCATCAACTGTGGTGTATCACCCAGTGACACCTTTAGCTTGCTGGAGATTGCAGCTAGGCAGTGAAGAAGTCCAGGCTTGTTAGGAACTCCGTTTACCTCAGGGGAGGAGGCTTCAGGCGATGGTGAAGAGAAAGGAGACGGATTCTGCTGGAGGGTTATATCCAGAGCTTTATTCCATGGTCACAGAGGTCTGAATCTTGGCAACAACTCCAACAGAATCCCGACCACATGGCTTGGTTCGGCTTTTAAGCTCAGGGACAGGGGAAGGGGAGGGACAGGTGAGCCACCAACCAGGTGGGAGGGGCAGGGTCTCAAGGGACGAGGGACACCTATACAGGCCAATGACCCCCAGGCCTGAGGGGCATCCTTTGAAAGTGACGAACCACAGGACACCTTGCAGGAATGTTAAAACTGATTGACAGCCCAGCAGGGGGCGAGGGGGGAAGGGGAAGAGGGGTATTGGCACACCTGGGGAAGGGACCTGGAAGTTTAAGACAGGTTATTACGACACACCGCAACACCTGCCCTGGCCCTCCTAGACAGGGAGAAAGAATTTGAATTATAGGTAAATTTTAAACAGGGCCATGCCAAAGGAATTCTTGTGTTAAAATGTTTAACCCAGTGGCCTGAGTGGCCTCAATGTCTGCAGAATTGTGCAGCCACAGCTTTCGTGGGAAATGAGGCCTGAAAACTGATGACAACAGGAGGATCTCCTATAGTTCAAGTCTGGCACCAAGGTAAAGCTTTGACAACCAAAAGAGCCTCTAAATGGATGTGCAGGGCTCGGTTATTGCAGTATGAAACTTGTTCAACAGCACAGGAGGATTTAGAACTGAGGACAGGGCAAGGGTTTAACCCAGCCTCCTGTTTGAACAGCCTGGAGAGGGGCTGGCAAGGAACCCAGGACTGCACTCAAGGGACAGAGCTCCAGACCCAGGCTGGGACAGATTGATGATGGGACATTGCCTGGCCTGAAGGAGAAAATGTGTTTGTGGATGGCTCTGCAAGGGCAGCAGAAGGGAAAAGAGCTACAAGACAGGCTGTGATTAAGGAAGGGGAATCAGACACAGCGCAGGTCACCGCCCCATGCTCAGCTCAACCCGCGGAGCTGTGGGTGCCTGTGAGAGCCTGGTACTGAAATGCCCTGAGCAGGAAGGCTTCAATATCTTCTGCTGACACCATGGCACCTAACAGGGGGGCAAAAGCAATTCTCACTTCTTCAGCATTCACTGCATCACTTATCAGGAATTTCTAAAAGAACAATTCATAGAGAAGGGATTGTGGAAGCAATAGACTCAGAAAGAAGTCGTCATTTTACTGGAAAGATCCTTCAGGGGGTTATGGCAGCTTTAGGAATACAATGGGACCTCCATATCCCCTGGCACCACCAGGAGTTCAGGTCAGGTAGAAAGAACGAATGGGGAAAGAAAGAAAGAAAGAATGAAAGAAACACCTTTGGAAGCTGGTGATAAAAACCAAGAGGCCATGGGTACGGCTTTTGCCATTGGCTATGGCAAGAAGAAGAGACAGACTCAGGGCAGATATTCAATTATCTCCCTTGGAACTGATGTCTGGAATTCCTTACCCTGGTAATTCTCCACCCAGTGCAGGGTGGAGATGAGGGATGTACATTTAAGGCAGTCTGTGGCCACAATCCTGTCTCTTGTGAAATCTCTCCCACAGGAAGCTGGGCTGGCACACAGCCTGCCCTGGCACTTTGCTGCTGCCAATACCCAGCCAGGACATCGGCTCCTGCCTAAGGAGTGCAAAGCAGCACCACTGGTGGCCAAGGGGCCCGTGCCAAGTTTCTGAGGCCAGAAACAGCCGCCAGCACAGCTCAACACGGGGGGACCCCTCAGCCTGGCCTCAAGGGCTCTGAAGCCCCGCAGATTTGCACTTCCCGCCCGCAGCAGGAGGATGGGAGGCCGCCCCTGAGCCTGCCCTGAAGGCAACGCAGCAGCAGCCAGGGCTCCACAGCGGGCCAAGCCCCTGCGCCTGCCCACAGATCCTTGCCTGGAATCCTCTGCAATCCTGGCCACCCTCCTCTGCCATCTCCAGCCACTGGGGCCAAGCCTTGCTGCCACTGCTGCAGCTTCAGCGCTGGCTGGGCCTGCACTGCCACAGCTGCTGGGGAACACCACGGCACAATTCCACTCTGGGCCTCACTGACACCCACACTCTGGGCTCCCTGCCATTGCACTGCTGCAAAATGTACCGATTTGGGTTCTTTTAAATATACTTTCTCTACTCAGGTTTGGTTTGTCTTTGCCTCGAGGAAAGGAATTTTAAAGGTTTTATTTAAGGGGTGTTACACCATTCAATGGAGAAGAGTTCAACATCCGAACAGACTGGGAACAGCCCAAAAGACACCCACAGAGATAACGACCAGCAACAAAACATCAACATTGCCCAGCAGCAAACAGCAACCAACAGCTACCCCAGACACTGCCCCTGGCAGAGCTGGAGACACCTGGGCTGGAAAAGGCTGAGAAGGAAATCCAGGAGTTTGGACCTAATTTACATCAGAGGGGAAGAAATCTGGGTCTAATAGGAAACCAAACACTAAAAACTTACACAACTTGAAAGCAATGAACATTAAACCAGTGGATTTCTGTAGGTTTTGGATGGCATAAAGTTTAGGAAAAATCTAGTAAAACTCACATGTCATTCAACAATTTTCTCTCCACACCCGGGCTGTGTGTGAGTGAAATGATTTCTGTTGCACATCCTGGCCAGAATCAAGTAATGCCTTGACTTTTTAACACTGGAAATGTTGGAGAGTTTTGGCTCTTCTCACCATTTTGGTGACAAGATTACAACATTAGAATGTTTTTTTCTTAATAACCCTTCTTTTGGTCAGTAGGGTTTGGGTCAGGGGTGTCAGAATCAATTTATATTCTGAGGAGAAGTACAGGCTTTTTGGGTATGTGTGTGCTTGTCTCTAAGTGATGGCACAATTTTGGTCTGGGTTTCTCCATGTTCACCTTTAGGATGCATTTGGAAAAACTAGAAGAGGTTTAAATGTGACGCTTTAACTCATAAACAGTTAACAGAATAGTGTTTAAAAAAAGGAAAAAAAAGACATCAAAAAAAAGGCAAAGGAAGCTGGGTGGGAAAGGAAAAGGGGAATCACCAGGTTACTGCCCTGGAAGAGAAGCTTTGGTTCTAGTCAGCCTGAGAGGAGCTTTAGAAATGCACATTAACACTGCTGGGCAAAGTGTGGACAATGCACCTGGGTCTCTTGCCTGGGGCAGGAATTGGGCTGATTCCCTCTGCCCCTCACCCCAAGCTCTGCCTGCTTGCACTGATGGAATTTGCACAGCTCAAGGCAGAGCCCAGGGTGAGGATATCTGACCCTGCAACACAAACGGGTGAAGCTGCAAAGGGAAACAGCAAATGGAGAATGTTGGGAAAACTGCACTATAAATAAATGGGGGGGAATCATCCTGCTGCCATCTCCAACATGTGCTGTCACTGTCTATGTTATATAGGGTGGATTACAGCATGGTGGCTGTTCAGGAAAGCAGTTGAGAACCCAAGTATTTGATGTTTAAATTACAGAAAATTGGCCAATTGATGCAGCCCTGGCTCCTGAGGCAGTGCAAATAATGGGAAAAACATAAACACCCACCAGAACAAATCCTACAACACCACGGACCAGCTCCTGGGAACCCGAACCAATTCATATCAGGAGCCACAGAGCCCATTTCTCATTTCAATGGCATCATTAGATTACAAGCTGTCCTCGGAATAACCAAGCAGACAGCTCCAGCTCCTGACCTTCCTGCTGACCAATCCACTGAAATGAGGAACACAACACTTCACCATGGGATGGCATCAGATCATCTGGTAGCAGAAGGAGGAGGAGTTAATGAAAAATTAAATGACTTAAACTGCTGCTGGCAAATAGATCACAAAGGAAAAGCGGTGAAATAGAAAACAAAGGAAAAAACAAAGCAGCTCATGTTCCAACTAAAACGTGAAAAGAATGGCAATGGGACACGGTTTTGTGGCTCCATGACAGACCATGGGATAAACAAACGCTGTTTCTCCTCTGATGTGCTACAGCAACTCTCATCTTTTTACCATGCTCCACACCTTGAGAGTGCAGCTCATTCAGCAGGTGAGCGAGGGGATGCAGGTGGCAGCCAGGCCTCCTGATCCAGAAACGGCTACAGAAGGACAGGGAATAAGGGCACTGAGAATAATCCCAAAACCAAAGACACAGTAAGGCAAAAAAAAAAAACAAAAAAAAAAAAAAAAAAAAAACCCCAAAATAAAATAAAATTCACCGAGTGAATCTGCCTGGAGATAGGGCCAGGGACGTGTAGATAAGGAAGGGAGAAACCATCAGTTTCAAAAACTGTTACTAATTAACATGGACTGCTGCTCAGACAAACTCCCGCTGAATTCCTGAACTTCGGGAAGAACAAAGACTGAACAGAGCCATGAATATCGGCTGTTATACAAAAGTGGGGGTGCACATTAACGAGGACATGCAGTTGATGGATCGGCAGGTCTGAACCTTCCAAGTACCTCAGCAAAGGGGCAAACGGAGAGGGAGATGAGGCCGGGAAATGAGGATGAAAAGGAGGCTGCGAACTACAACAATGGCAGAGAGCGCACGGCAAATGCCCCACGGCCTCTCCCTCTGCTCAGCAATAAAGTCACTTTTACAGAACTCCTCTGTCTCCCCTGGGCACAGAAACCTCCGGCCACGGGAATTTCCCCGCACAGCCCCGGACACGGGGCAGCCCCCTCTGTCCCAGCCACAGCAACCGGGCCGAGCCAGCGCTGCTCCGGCAGCGGCTCCTGCCGAGGCAGCGACGGCAAGGAGACCGCGGGCAGCCGCTCCCGCAGCGCCCTCACGCCAGCGGCAACACGGGCCGGACACGACACAACGAACCCGCCCGAGCCCCCTGCCGCCCCCGAGGCCCCGCACAACCCAGCGCGACTCCCACCTGCGCTGCGGCCGCGTCCGAGCTCCGCCTCCGAGCTCCGCCGCCGCCTCACCGCGCTCCGGCCGCTGCCGCCGCTCACGGGCCCGCACCGACAATGGCGCCGCTGCCCAGCCACGGCCGCCCTCAGCCCGCCACCGGGGCCCTGCTCCGCCCCGCTCCCACCAATCAGCGCGCCACAACCACGACTGACGGCACCATCACCCAATCCCAGCCAGGGCCGGGCTCTGCACACGGCACAGCCCCGCCCCGCGCTCTCAGGGCACCCAGGGCTGCGTGAGGGCAGAGCCGGAGCTGAGGAACAGCCCTGGAACGGGCCCGGGCCCGAGGGGGATTGAGCTGAAAACACAAACAAACTTCTCCGCACCTCCCGCCACGGCTTTCCCGACACTGCGGCTCCGGTGGCTCCGGCTCAGCGGGAAGCCCTGGAGCCTCACTTCTCGTACCCCTAATTAGGAGCATCAGTGCATCGCTTTGAATTCCCCCAAAAACAGGAAAACCGTTCCAAACCCCAGTGGATGAGTGGGGGAGGGGAGAGATTTGTGACAGAAAACTCCAAAAACTCAGAGCAGGATAATGAGAAGTAAGTGAAGACCTTTAAATCCAGTCATCCCCCACGCCTTCCTCCTTCCAGCTGCACCTCCTACCCCGGCAGTGCCGCAGACAGGGAATGGAGCCGGGCTCAGTTCATGCCCCGGGGCTTCTCCCTCTGCTCAGGGACAGGAGTCGTTCCCCTGCTGCACCCTGGGCTCTCTCCCACCGGAGACTTCTCCAGGAACTTCTCCAAGCTGAGTCCATCCCACGGGGCACAGCCCCCTCCAAGTGCTGCAGCGTGGGTCACTGTGCCCCGGGGTCAGTCCTGCCAGGACAGGCTGCTCCAGCGGGGCCGCGGGGTCACAGCCTCCTCTCAGGCATCGCCGTGCTCAGCGTGGCTGCTCCGCGGGCTGCAGGGGGATCTCTGCATCCCCGTGGATCTGCAGAGGGATCTCTGCATCCCCGTGGATCTGCAGGGGGATCTCTGCATCCCCATGGATCTGCAGGGGGATCTCTGCACCCCCATGGATCTCTGCATCCGACATGGCCGTCTTTGGAGTCACCAGGAATAGGCTGAGCTCTACCTGAAGCTCTTCTCACATTCCCCACACCTTTCCCAGCACAGGGAGGCTTTTACCTCCTCACAGTTCCCCGGGCTGACAAGGAGAGGAATAGACATGGTGAAGGGAAAAGGAAAAGGCAGAAGGAGAGGAAGGAACAAGAGGGAACAAGGGAGGAAGGAGATGAGAAAGGAAAGTGGATGGATGTAGGACAGAATGAGGAGAAGGAGGGCAGACAAGGAGAAGATGGGATTTGCCTCCATGCCAGAGGGAAGGGGAAGGAGATCCCCCCAGTCCATCCCTGGCAGGATGGTGTTGGCAGTGAGGCTGTCCTGCAGCGATGCTGGGCTGGGAGATGGAGCAGCAGAGAGGGGAAAGGGGCAGTGATTCCTCCTGCCCTGCCTGGCTGTCCCAGCCTGGAGCGTCCTGAGGCTGCCGAGGCCCTTGGAGCGTCCAGCACTCCGGAGCCCGAAGCTCAGGGCTGCTTTATAAAGCTGACAAAGTCGGCAGGATGGGTCTGGGTATGATCTGCAGCAAACTGGGTTTATTGGTACAGGAACAGGGGATGGAGCTGAACAGGGCCCAGGGACAAAGACAGGGTGCAAGCTGAGGGCACAGGGGGTTTTTATATGGGGTAGTGAGGGTGGAGCTGAGGGTCAGGGTCCAATGGATATGGGGGAAATGGTGCAAAGGAGGGATTAAGGGTCGGGTCTGCTAATAGGGAAACAGGGGCAGAGGAATGCAGTAAATTAGGGCCAATGGAGGGACAGAGAGGAGAACATTGTAGGGACTAACCAGACACCAGTAATAGGGGGTGAACTAGGGTAATTAGGCCAACAGGCCAATGGAGTAACATAACTTTACATAAATGAGCATGTGCCTGCAAAGATCTGTGGGAGAAGCAAGCTTCTCACCATAACCTTGAAATCTATTCCTCTTACTGGGGACCAGTCCTCCACGGGTGGGAGATTAAACTCTAATGGTAGGCCCATGGGCCTCCACACCAATGCATTTTCCTTTTCTTTGCAGTCTTTTTCTTCTCCATCCACACAAACTTTATGATTGACAGATCATGACTTGGGAGAACAACAAGGGGTGAGGACCTTGGGCGTTGTGAGAAAGGAGCCTCACGCTTTAGAATTTTTAGAATTTTAATAAGGGATAAATAGAGACACATGAATAACAGCACTGGTGCTTGGCGATGGCCTGAGGCACACCTGTTAACCACAGCAACTCTTCTTATCTCCTTTTCCCCCTACATTCGTAAATGCATATTCATAATGATCATAGTAATTCAAACATTTCTTTTAACTTGTTTACATGTTCCAGGAATTCTTTAGGTTGGTTTTACCCCCATCTCGCCTTTTTAGAGTACATGCAGGAATCATGGATTGCTGTTTTGAGGGTTGTGTGTCACTCCCTCACAAGGGCCCCCTGTTCTGTGGTTTCAGCAGGTGACAGTTATTGACAGTGGAAGGGTCAGTGGCAGGGCTCCTCATCACATCCCTTCCTTAAATGTTATCTGACCATGCAGAGGGTTTTAGCCATTTCCACAGGTCCTTTAAATGAACATTAGCTATTTCACAAACATCTCTGAGTTATTATTGTCAGTTAGTTACAAAAATAAAAGCATTAGTTATTATTTCACTACAGCTACTTCTGCAAAAGTTAACATTATAATGGACAACATCTGGCATCCACTTTAATATTTTGCAAAAGCCAAAACTATAATGTATGTTTTTCACACTGTTCGCAAATTAAAATATCATCCATAAATGATGGTCTGAGGATATGAGCTACACAGAGGCCAGGGCATTGGCCACAAAAACCTGACAAATTATGCTATAGCAAAAGCAGTTAAAAGTGATTACAAACTGTACTGCAGCAAAATTGTTGTAATTAAGAATACTTTGCAGAAGTCAATACATAATAGCAAAAGCAACACTACCTAGTTATTTATAACAAACCCAGGGCAGGTTTTTCCCTTGCATGGAGCACTTGGGCCTTCCCCGGGCCCCTTCTGCCCTCGTGCAGAGCCGGTGGCATTTTCCAGCACACCCAGTTTGTAACCAAGAGCCGGGTGCAGCCGAGAAGGCTCCAAGCGCCTCCTTCCAGGCTGACTCTGCAGGTGCCGAGGCTGCTCTGGGCTCTGCCAGGGCTCTGCTGGGGCTCAGCTCTGGGCCAGGCTGGGCCCGCTCTCCCCTCACATTGCTCCGGGCAGCTGAGGCACAGCGGGAGAAGGAAGGGACACGGCAAGGCAGTTGAGGGTTAAGAGAGTTTTTATTCAAAAAACTGCCATAACAAACAGGCTGTCATAAGAACCATAACACACAGGCAATCCTAACTACCCTAACCAACTAGCAGTGCTAACTACCATAACCAACTAGCAGTGCTAACTACCATAACTACCTAGTTGACCTAACTACTGTAACAAGAAGCTGCCCTCAAGTGCTTCATCTCCTCCGCTGCTCCCTCAGTTGCTTCGCTGCAGTGATCAGAGGTGTCAGGCTGGAGAGAGGCTTGGCTGATGATAAAAATGGGTGCTGCCAAAAGGATAAAGAGGAAAGAAATGAACTGTTACTTTCCAGAGTCAAGTTCCTCACAGGCTCTGTTGCAACAGGACAAAGGGAAATGGTTTGTAACTCAGGAGAGGGAAGCAGGCTCAGATTGGATCTAAGGAAGAATTTTTTAACCAGCAGAGTGGGGAAACAGTGACAGAAGGTGCCCAGAGATGTGGGAGGTGCCTCCTCCCTGGAAACATCCAAGCTCAGGTCAGGCAGGGCTCTGGGCCCCCTGAGCTGCTTGAAGATGTCCCTGCTCGCTGTTGTGCACCAGGCCCAGATGAGCTCCAAAGGAGCTGCCAAGCCACAGCAGGCGAGGATTCTGCTTGCTCTGCGTGTGGAACGCAGCCAGACTGGAGACTGTCGGAGGGGGCCCCACAAGAAAACCCCTCCCTGGCGCTGCTGCTTCCCCTGCAGCCCCTGGCCCTCACCTGCAGCAGCTCCTGGGCAGCCCAGCGCCGCTCCTCGTCCGTCTCCAGGCTGCACTCGAGGAAGTCCCGCAGCAGAGCCGACAGGCGCCGGGGCTCCTGCAGCTGCGGGGTCCCGTTCTGCCGGATCAGAGCGCGAGCCTGCAGGGAAAGCAAACTCAGTGCTCTGCCAGCTCCCTTCACACCCACACGGGCTCACATCCACCCCGGGGCCTCAGCCCCAGCTCCAGGGGCACTTTCCTCCCTGCCACAGATGCTGCTCACAGCTCATTTTGCTATGCCAGCCAAAAACCCCAAACCCTGGGGCTGCCACAGCCACTGCAACATCCAAATGATCTCGCCTTGAGAGCCAGTTTCACTGGCTGACTTTGTTCGTTGGAACCTCCATGAGAAATATTGTGTTATTTCAGAGGATTCTTACGTCAAGTGCATCTCTGCAGTGCCACTGACACTCAAGTAGATGCATTTCTGATGCCCCGTCCCAAAAATTGCCAGGCAAGAAACAGGAGGTTTGTGTTGCTGAAAGCTCAGGATTGGTGCCAAAGAGAAAGTAGCTTGGACTAGGAAAGAAATATGTTAGATTCTAAAGGGGATGTTAAGCAATCATCTTCAGGTTTTAGACAAGTTTCCCAGTGAGAAGAATCAGGGGGGTGATCATCTTGCAAAACCTCTTTTTAGAAACTCCTTCAAAAAACTTGTTGGGATTTGTGGGTGGGATTTGGGGATGGTTTGGGGTTTTCTTTCAACATTAGAGCTACTGCACTCGTTCACATTTTCAGGTCATCCTCCCAGCCAGAAGAGCTGCAACAACATAAATCCCAAAGCAGATTTTTGCTGGAGACTGCAGAATAATCATCTGTGTTGAGGATGGAGTCCTCTGGGAATTCCCTTCCCATGTGTAGAAACTTCCAGCTGCTGCTCCCAGTGCAGGGTCCCCCTGTGCTCACAGGCCTCTGCAGCCACTGCAGAATTTGCCTCTTACCATGGCCGCCGTTTCCCTGAAGTAAGGAGGTTCTCCTTCCACCATCTCGATGGTCACAATTCTAAAGGCCCAGATGTCCACCTTGGGGCCATAAGGAGATCTGGTCACAACTTCTGGGGCCATCCAGTGAGCAGTGCCCACCATGGAGCTGCACTGGTCCTGCTTAGGGCTGAGCTGAGCGCAGAGGCCAAAATCAGCTGAGAACAGAAACAAACCCTGTCAAAGGCAGCTGGAATGAGGAAACCAAGCACAAAGAAGGGCCATAGGCAGAGCAAAGGCACTGCTGGCACCCTGCTCCTCTCCTGAGCTCTCTGCAGGGGCAGCCTCTCTCAGCTGGCAGCAGAGGCCGGGCAGTGCCCCCAGCAGCCCTTGTGGGGCTCTGGCCCTCCCTGGGAAGCAGCCCCACACCCGCAGCCCGGGAGCGCCGTGCCTGGCCAGGAACACCCACCCAGCCTGACAGAGCCGTCCGTGCCCAGGAGGATGTTGGAGCTCTTCAGATCCCTGTGGATCACCCGCTTGGAATGGAGGAAATCCAGGCCCTGCAGACACTGAGAGAGAACAAGAAACATGAGGGCAAAAACCAATGGCCAGAATATATCACACAAGAAAGGACAGTTCAGAATTCTGCCAGCAGCAGCTTTGCTGTGACAGGCCAGGAGTGCAGTGCACACCAGCTCCAGGCAAATGGTTCAAGGCAAAGCTGAGAACAGCAAATCAAATCCAAACCAGACAGAGAGTACCACAACAGCAGGAGAGAGAACAAGAACAGAGTAGAAGTGCAGTGATGCTGGCAGGCCGTTCACTGCAGAGGCTCTTTCTTCTCCAGCTCACAGAAACAACACAGAAACAAAGGCCTGAGCATGGAGCCACTCCTGTTCTCACGCCCTCTTTGGAAGGGCCATCGTGTCCCAGCCATGGAGTGACAAGCAGGACCGCTCACCTCCCGACTGACAGCTGCCATCTCTCCTTGAGCCATGCGTATCTGTCTGACAACGTCCTGCAAAGTTCCTCCATCCATGTATTCCATCACCAGCCAGAGATCTCCATCAACAAGGAAGCTGGAAGAGGAAAGCAATGGCATGGAAAGGAAAGTGCAGAGCTCAATTCCCCCATGGAAAAGCCTGGAGTGGGGTTTTGTTTCCAGGTCAATTATCAATGAGGACAGAATCAGATGGAGAGACATTCCTGCCAGGCTGCACAGCCCTTGGAATCTGCACAGTCTAAAGGAGAAGGAGACACCTGTGAGAAAGGAGAGGCCTTAGATGGCAAGCAGGTGAAAAATAGCAACAGCCCAGATCAATGTGGAACCACAACCCTTGGCCCCAGCTGGTTCAGCTTCTGAACTCATCAGTTCCACCATTCCCTGCAGAAGAAGGCAACACAACTGCCAGGGTTATCCAGGGGAGGAGGCTGTTCAGCACTTGGGACAAAAGCAGTCAGAAAACCTTTCAGAAAGTCCCTTCAGAAACAGGCAAGGCCAGTGAAAAATGGGCAAATGAGGCATTTCTGGACACAAGAACCTGATCTTCCTGGCATCTGTAGCAATGGAAAAGGGCTGGGAAGAAGAAGCCAAGGGAAATAATTTCTGCTGTGGTTCATCAGCATTTGTTAGAAGACACAGCAAATGGGGAGGAACTTGAAGGAAAAACCAAAGCAAAGCAACAAAAGCACACGGAGGGAGTGAACTGCCAGGCTGTTGTTTTGGGAAGATGTGGCTGGGTCAGGCATTTTCCAAACAGGCTACAGACTCCAGATGCCAGGAAAGGTTAACGCAGGGCCTGGGCACGGGATAAGAGCGGAAGCACTGACCTGTCCAGAAAGTTGACAATGTTGGGGTTCTTCTTGTCCTTCAGGAGCAGGATCTCATTCACAGCTCGTTCCCTATTCTGCCCTCTGAGACTCATTTTCTTGATGGCCACCTGAAGGGACATTGCAGCCTTTAACTGCAGGAGTCTGTGGCAGGAGGCCACAGCAAACACGGAGCGAGTCTTTTTGGAGCAACGGAGCCGGCCTGGGCCCAACTGCCTTGGGATGGGACACCAGAGCTCAGCAAGGGCCATTCCCACAGCCCATTGCTCTGCCAGCCGGGGGCTGCTCACAGGACACATGGCCAGAGACATTTGGCCTTGCAAGCTCTGCAGAAATGGTCCCTCAGCTGCCAGCCTCAAAGCTCTAACAACATTCTCTGCACCTACAGTCTTCTCAAATGGCCTCAACACTCTCATTATTATTATTATTATTCAAACACATGTTGCAAGCAGGAGGTAATTCTGGTTCTGTAAAAACAGAGCAAAACAGCCAGAAACCCTTTAGCAATTCTATGGGATTTGGTCATGATTTCAGATCCAACTGCTCTGTTTGGGATTGCACAACTAAGCAAACACACACCCATTGCTCAGGTGATGCCTGTCACAGGCTGTCACTGACACCAGACCCAAACACAACTGCAGGATTTAGGAGAGAGCTTTGCTCTGGACACCCATCTTCTCATTTCTCTCCCTCTCCCTCTGTGAACAGCTGAAGTAGGACTAAAACCCCAAAATAAGCCCAAGCAGGAGCTCTCCCTAATTAGGCCTTGAGGTTCCCTTTGAAGATAAAAGGCAGGATGGAAAAACTGCTAAATAATGTTCCTGTCTGAGGCTGGGATGACGATAAACTGGACCTCAGTCTCCAGCAGCTGATGCATTCACACTTTTAGATATGAAGACCAAGCCAGGGCGTCCTGCACTGACAGACACCGCTGCCCTCCTTGCATTCCTTGTGCTCTTCAGAAGGACCAAGTGTGTCCCAGCTGTGCTCTGCAGGCTGACACTGCTCTGCCTTCAGAGGAGCAGCCTGGGCAGGAAAGCTCTGCTGGCCCCCAGAGCTGCAGCCACAGCTCCCAGCAGAGGGGAAAGCCCTGCAGAGCTGCCAGCCGTGCTGGGCGTGTTGGCACTGACCTCTCCTCCAGTGACCCTGTCGAGTCCTTTGTAAACGGTTCCGAAAGCCCTGGAGACAAAAGAGCAGAGAAGAAAGAAGCAGCGCTTTAGGCCCTGGCAGTGAAAGCCAGCCCAGACAGGAGATCTCTGCTGCCTGCAGCGTTCACAAACACCTGGGTGCATCGACCCTTCCATCACCAGCACAGCAGCCACCAGCCCTCTGCCATGCAAGGTGTGCAAGAGGAAACTGAGACCCAGCACGAAGGAACTGGGCTGGAGCAAATCCCAAATGTCCACGCTGAATTGCTTTAGTTCCAAAGCTAGGAGGAGAAATGGGTGTCTAAAGAACTGGAAAAGAATGCATTTCATCCTTTTCCATTTCCTGCCTAAGACCTGCAGGATCCACAAGGGCTCTGCCATCAGACAGGTGATGCTTTTTCCTCCACAGTGCATCAGCTCTGTGTCTGTTACTGAATGTATGGGGTCTGCTACCTGTGCTAGAATAGAGTACTTATTATTTCATCTCTGGTTTCTGTTTCTAAACCATTAGGTTGATACTCCTGACCAGTGGATATTTTTTGACGGAAAATATTTGAAAGAAATCTTCTTGAGAACTGTTTTCTGACAGTCACCAGATGGTGAGTTGGTCTTTTAGGCAATCCAGTTCCAGGGACAGAAGATCTTCCAGGTCCTGCTCCTTGCTGCAGGCAGGACACTGCCAGTCTCAGGGGCCTTGGATGGTGCCTTCTGACCACAGTTATCAATTCTGATCTGGACTGAGAGACAGCAGGATGGTAGCCAGTGTCTGAAGGTGCTTTGGGCTCTCCTGACCTCTCACTTGATCCTGCACCAGTGCAACACCCAGCCCTGCTTGTGCAGAAGCAGCTGCTGTGCACTTACCCTTGGCCAATCTCCTCCACTTCCAGGTATTTCTGGGCAGGCTCCGCCTCGCTCACGGTGTTCCCTGAAAGAAAAAATGTGGAAGACGCTCCCTCCCAGAGTGAGAGCCCACCTTGCAGCAAAGCCAGAACCAGCCCCGCTCCCTGGGGCCGTGAGCCCCTTGGTGTCAGCTGGGGAAGGACAATAAATGGCTCTGGGACATTCAGCTGCAGAGCAACCCTGGGTGCAGCTGATGCCCAGACACACACACAGCACCTGCTCGGGCACCCAGGAACAGAGCAGACGTACTCAGCTGCATCAGGCACCACTCCCCTCTCCCCTCTGGCTGCAGGGCTGTGCTGCTGTCAGGATGTTCAGCCCAGGATCCCACAGCGGAGGGAGCTTCATTGTCCTCTTCCCAAGCAGAGGGAGGTTCTCCATCCTCTTCCCAAAATGCTGCAGCTTCTCCATCCTCTTCCCAAAATGCTGCAGCTTCTCCATCATCTTTCCAAGCCAGGGGATCCTTGCTGTCCACTTCCCATGCTGGGAGATGTTCACTCTCCTCTTCCCAAGACACAGGATGTCCTCCATCCTGTGCGAGGAGGATGGGAGATGGGAGATGTCCTCCATCCTCATCCCACTCCAGGAGATGTCCTCCATCCTCATCCCACACTGCGCATTGTCTGTTGTCCTCGTTCCACACTGGGAGATGTCCTCCATCCTCATCCCACTCCGGGAGATGTCCTCCATCCTCATCCCACTCCGGAAGATGTCCTTCATCCTCATCCCACACCGGAAGTTGTCCTCCATCCTCATCCCACTCCGGGTGATGTCCTCCATCCTCATCCCACTCCGGGAGATGTCCTCCTTCCTCATCCCACACTGCGAGTTGTCCGTTGTCCTCGTCCCACTCTGTGGGAGCTTGGCCATTCTGGTCCCACACCAGGGCACATCCACCGTCCTCGTCCCATGCCAGGAGATGCCCCCTGTCCTTGTCCCACCCTGCGGGAGCCTCGCCGTTGCATTCCCACACCGCGGGATGTTCGCCCTCGTCTCCCAGAGCAGTGGGAAGTTCACTGTCATCTCCTGGCACTGAGGGAAGTTCACCATCGTCCCCCAGAGCAGCAGGAAGCTCACTGCTGTCTTCCTTGTCTTTGGCCTCCGCTTTGGAAGCAGAGGGAGTCCCAGGAGGTGCTGGTGCTGCTTTTGTGCCCTGTGGACAGACGGCAGTGTGAGGGACAGGAAGTTCTATCTCAGTTATCACCTTATTTATCCTCAGCTGCACATCCAGCTGCACTAAGAAAAAATTTGGTTCAGAGCTGTTCCGACTAACAATGGGCTAAAGTCGACATTGCCACTTGTTGTTGGGAATTCAATATTCCACCATGGCTAAAGCCAGCAAGCAATCCTCTGCCTGCAAAACCAGACCTGCAGCTCTTCAAAAGCTCTTCAGCAGAAAAGGAGAAAACTGCCAGGGATCCCTTTGCTGCTGCTGCTGCTGCAAAGATAGTGACAGGAACTTTCCTTCAGCCTCCCAGGCTTGCACTCGGCTGCCACATGCCGAGCTCACCACTTGCTGCACAATTCCAAACACCAAAGGTTCCTTTCCCACTCACCGAAGGAGGAGCTGCTTGGAATGTAGACATGAGGTGCCCTGAAACGGGAGAGGGAACATGAACCAGATGCTGTTAGGAGAAAAACTGCCTGTGGTGGGAAATGCCACGGAGCAAGGCAACCCCGAGAGAGCATTTTGCTTTCACAGCATCCCTCCAGGAGCCACAGTCCTTTCCCACAGCAAGCAAGAGAGCAGCACAAAATACTGGGCTGGGTCAGCTCTTGGCTGGAGCAGCAAAGGGAGGGAGTTCCAGGCTCTGCTGGCACAGACTCCCTGCTTGACGGAACAGAACCCCCCAGGGCCCATTGCAGATGCTGTGCACCCCCCGCTGGCTGCAGACACCCCCTTTTTCAGCTGCAGCTGCTGGCAGGAGCTCTCCCAAAGCAATGGTGTCTTCATGGAAATTTGGTTCCAAAGTCAACTCAGCTCCAGAGGAAGAACAGAAAGCACACAGCAAGGCCAAAGCCACAGATGCTGCAGCAAAGGAAAACCTCAACTTACGTGCCAAGTGGGTTAAAAAATACCCCGAATAAGCCACAGAGTACATAGTGCAAACTGCAGCAGCCATGTGCTGCATCATTTTGGCTGCGCTGCACACGTCTGCAGCCTGTAGTCCTGCAAGCACAGAAGGACACCCGTCAGGGTTGGGCTGGCTGCTGAGAATGCCTCGGGCAGGAGGATCCTCCAGCAACGAGCCCAGAGCCACTCTGGGCACTGAGGCCTCCGTGTCGCACAGCAACGGGAACACCACGGGGACGTGGCGCTGTTCCTGTGACGTCCCAGCAGCAGCTCACGCAGAAACCGCCTGGAAGGTTCTCCTGTGTCACAAAGGAGCACAAAGAACCCTCCCAGGGCACAGCCTATGGCCCAAAGGGTGCAAGAGGAACTCGGAAAATGCAGCAAACAAGGACACACCATAGCCCAGCCTGAACACTGAGGAGGAACAAGGACGCACCAAACCAAAGGAAACGTGACTTTTAGTCACTGATACATCTGACTAAAAGCAGCAAGCCGTGTTCCGTCTGGGATCTTTGTTCTGGTTCTAAATGCAAGCAAGGTTTTCCACTCTAAATACACAAAAGGCAGGAACTGGGGAGGAAGTGGGGTAGGGAGGAGGAGGAGGTGGAGGAGGGAGAGAGGAAAAGGAGGAGCAGGAAAAGGAAGAGCAGGAGCAGGAACAGGAGGAACAGGAGGTTCCAGTGCCCCCTGTGGCCGCGGCTGCGGTACCATCGCCCCCAGCTCGTCCTGAAAGTGAGCGGGGAGGGGGAGCCCGTCTCAAATCTATTGGGGGTCCCTGTGAGGGTGTTTTTATTGGGGTGTGTTTGGAGCTCACAGATTGTGGAATTGACCCCAAACATCATCTGGTGTCCCTGGGAGGTTTTTTTCTCTGTGTGTGTAGGTTTGGATCTTGCAGGAGCCCAAAGCTGAGCCCCTTGTGGGATCTTTGGGGGCCCATGTGGCCATTGCCCAGTATGGGCAGGGGAGGACATTGGTCCTGGGGACCCCCGAGAGAGCAGAAGAGGGGAACCCCTGGGACCCCCAGAGTGGGGAGAGCAGAGAGAGGCGATCCCAGAGCTGGGGGACCCCGGCAGATTGGAAAGGGGGGGAGCCTGGAGAGGAGGGACCCCTGGGATCCCTGGGATCTCAAAGTAGAGCATGAGGGCAGAAGGCCCCCATGGACCCCCAAAAGCCCCTGGATCATCCCTAAGCAGAACGCTGGAGAAGGGGGAACCCCTGAAACCGTTGGGCTGAATCTTGATATTGTGGAGATTTTCATGGACACAAGACTCCTGCTGAGTTCCAGAGATGGACCTGGCCAGGAGGAGCCTCTACTCCAAGGCACTCCCACCTTGGTTTCCCCCAAATCAGGGTTTGTCATTCTCAAGCTGTGGCTAAATGGAAGAGGTGGAAAAGTCCCAGAGATCCCGCACGTGGAGGGGCTGCAAACCCAGCCCAGGGAGCTGTGGGGAGGAAAGAGCCCCCCTGAGTCAGGAAGGCGGCCGGAGATCCAGCCAGAGCTCAGAGCTGGTGGAGAAGCCTCATGGCAGGGAGGAAAGCTTATGTTTCCTTCTTGCTGGTTGGTGGAGACATTGCTGTGATCTTGTTGATGACATCAGTGGGAATCTGATGCCATCCATCTTGCCACTTTACTCCAGGAACTGGATCTTTTGGGCAGGTCCTTTGATTTTGCTCTTCTTGATGGTGAAGCTGGCTTCCAGCAGAATCTGGATGATCCTCTCTCCTTTCTCAAACACTTCCATTGCTGTGTTCCCCCACACAATGATGTCATCGATGTCCTGGATGCCTCACCCCTTTCTAGTGCAGTCTGGATCAGTCCATGGCAGATGGTGGGGTTGTGCTTCCACCCCTGGGGCAGTCGGTTCCAGGTGTACTGCATGCCCCTCCAGGTGCAAGCAAACTGAGGCCTGCATTCTGCTGCCAGAGGAATGGAGAAAAATGCATTGGCAATGCCAATGGTGGCATACCATTTCACTGCCTTGGACTCCAGCTCGTACTGGAGTTCCAGCATGTCTGGCACAGCAGCGCTCAGTGGTGGAGTCACTTCATTCAAGCCACGATAGTCCACAGTCAATCTCCATTCTCTGTGAGACTTGCGCACAGGCCAGATGGGGCTGTTGAAGGGTCAGTGGGTTTTGCTGAGCACCCCTTGGCTCTCCAGCTCACAGATCATTTTGTGGATGGGGATCACGGCATCCCAATTTGTCCAGTACTGCCGGCGGTGCACCGTCAAGGTGGCAATTGGCACTCGTTGCTCTTCCACCCTCAGAAGTCCTAATGCAGATGGATTTGTGATAGTCCAGGCAAAGTATTCAATTGCTTAATGTTCTCTGTCTCTACAGCAGCTATGCCAAAAGGTCACTTGAGTCTTTCTGGATCTTTGTAAAGCCATTTGGGAGGAAGTCTATGCCCAGAATACACGGGGCCTCTGGGCTGATCACAATAGGATGTTTCTGCCACTCCTTCCCAGTCAGGCTCACCTCAGCTCCCAACGGGGTCAATTGCTGGGATCCCCCTGTCACCCTGGCAATGGAAACAGGTTCTGCCCCCACCTGTCCCGATGGTATCAGGGTACACTGCACACCAGTATCAACTAAGGCATCATATTTTTGTGGCTTTGATGTGCCAGGCCATCAGATCCACACTGTCTAAAAGATCCAGTTTGCCCGTGCCTCTTCCTGGCTAGAGGCAGGGCCCCTCTAGTCCATGTTATTTCTTTCCTGGGCATACATGGTAGAGGTTCCTTCAAGGGGATCTGACAGATCATACTCAGCAGCTCGGTCATGGGAGGTTGAGGCTACCTTCACTTTACTGGAGTTCCCTCGATTTGTGTTTCCCTCCTTGAATTGACGCACCCGTGCTGCCAGGACAGAAGTGGGTTTTCCATCCCACCTTCCCATGTCTTCCCCATGGTCACGCAGGGAGAACCACAGGTCAGCCCCTGGGGGGTACCCTCTCTGTCTAGCTGGGGAACATTGGGCTCTGACTTTGGGGCCTGTGACTTGCACTGGTGCCATATGGGAACTGTTGCTCCTCACTGTGACAGTGTTCACAGGGGTCCCAGAATGAGGGAAGAGACGAGAATGTTGACTCCATGTTTCAGAAGGTTTGATTTATTATTTTATTATATATATTATGTTAAAACTATACTAAAATAATAGAAGAAAGGATTTCATCAGAAGGCTAGCTAAGAATAGAAAAAGAATGAATAACAAAGGCTTGTGACTGACCAAGACAGTCCAGACAGCTGGACTGTGATTGGCCATTAATTAGAAACAACAACATGAGACCAATCACAGATCCAGCTGGTAATTCCACAGCAGCAGATAATTATTGTTTACATTTTGTTCCTAAGGCCTCTCGGCTTCTCAGGAGGAAAAAATCCTAAGGAAAGGATTTTTCATAAAATATGTCTGTGACACCTCACCTCCTCCCTCATCTCCTCTTTGAGATTTTTAATCACAGCAGAGACATGAGCCAGCATTGGGCCATTGATCATACTCTCATAATTTCTAAGCTTGTTGGCAACACAGCCCACTGTCTCTCGGTTGGTGTCGGCATTAATCGTTGAAATAAAGGCAGTGTATTGAGATGGCCCCAGATTTACCACACTCCACAACATTTGCGCTGTGCACCTGACCTTGTTGGGGCCATTATCATGCTGTCCATCCCCCCCAAAGAGTACCTCCAATACTGCCACATCTCTCAGCTGTTGGATGCCTTCCTCAAGGGTCTTCCAGCACATTCTATGGTGGTGCTCCTGCATGCTCTCCCTGTGGACAAACCTCTCTCTGGCACTCATTAAAAGCCGCTCCTAGAGGGAAAGGGACCCTGGCTCCCTTACAAAAATCTGATTGATACCTGAGTCCTGGGTCAAGGGTCCCAAATTCCTTGCCTCACCACCATCTAGTACAGGACACCTGTACTTATAAGGTCCCAGACCCAAAGTAGCCAGGTTGTATAAGTCTCACATCCCCATCATACAGTGTCTCTGTGCAGATTTTGGAGATTTTCGTACGTCAGGGACTCGGTGACGATCTCAACCTCTGGATCTCCTGAGGGTTGTGAGGGCTTTCCCTTATCTGGGTGCTCTGCTTTCATCTTAGATCTCCTTGTTTCTACAGGGGCAACTGCTGCTGGCTGTGACTGCCTTTGCAGTTCAGCAGGAACCCGGACAGTTGTAATGTCTGTGGGTTTCATTGCTGCACTATCAGACTCTCCCTCTTTGAGGCACTGGGAGGGCTTCTCATGAGCTTGAGAAATGTGCTCCTTCAGCATCTGGTTTATCTCGTGTATCTCTCCCTCACCAGAACCCCCATCCAATCTGGGTAGTTTATAGCTGAGGTGGGCTGTGGGGCAGGGTCAGGCTCTGGGGCAGCATCCGTTGTCTTTGGGGTAGGTGTCAGGGTGGTGCAGGATCCCCGAAAAAGGGGGGCAGGGGGCTCCCAGAACTCTGACGGGGCTGTAGGGGAGTCCCAGTCCCAGATAACGGGGTTTAGGGGAATCCCAGTCCCGGAAATGGAGATTCAGGGGTGTCCCAGTGCCCAGGAATGGGGGTTCAGGGGGGTTCCCACGCCGAGATTCGGGATTCAATGGGATCCTGAGCCCCAGGAATGGGAGATCGTGTAGGTCCCGGTGCCAGATAAGGGGGTGCAGGGGGTCCCGCTGCCATGAAAGGTTCACAGGGTCCCCATGCCCAGGAACAGGGACTCAGGGGGTCCTAGTGCTAGGGAAGGTGATAGAGGGGGATCACAAGACCCAAAATGGGGGTGCAGGGGAATTCCCCTGCCCGGCAATGGAGGTTAGGGGGTTCCCAGTGCCCAGAAATGGAAGTTCGGAGGGGTCCCTGTTGGGATTTTAGCTGACTAGAGATTGGAAAAGTACAAGGCCATGGCTAATTCCAAGTCCTGCACCTGCAAGATAGCGTGTCCTTGGGCCTAGCTGTAGTATGATAACAAATAGTGAAAGAGACACGAGAACAAGAGAGATGTAACCCCTGAGGAATGGGGAAGAGCTGGTGTTGTGGTGTGGCCAATGGACGGTGTAAATCACAGAATATTCATGAGTTTATTACTTTCTGTATAAGTGTCTGATGCTCTCCTCAATAAAACGGAACTTGCGGATGACTCAATATGAGTCCGAGTTTTCCGTGCACCCGACAAATGGCTCATCCCCGACAAACGGCTCATCCCCGACAAACGGCTCATTCTGCAACAGGTCCCGGTGCCCGGGAATTGCGGTTCAGGGGGGTCCCGGTTTCGGGGGGTCCCACTCACCTTTGGTCGCGCCCCCCGAGTTCCCCAGGAGCCCCCAGAGCACCCCCAGCCCCAGCGCTGGAGCCATCGCAGCCGTCCCCGATCGCGGCTGTGGCGCAGCTGGAGAGACGCGAAAGCGAAAGTGTCCGAGGAGCGCGGGGGGAGGGGAAAAGGGGGAGGGGAAAAGGGCGAATTCCAGTGAATTCACCTGGATCCCCTCCTGCCCCCCCTCTGGATCCCTCGGGATCCGTCTGGGACCCTCCAGGGTCGTGCCCTGCGGGACCCCCGGGCCGGGCTGTGCTGAACTCCCGGCCCTGCGCTCAAACTCTGCCCGGACCCCGCTGGGCTCGGCCCAAAGCCGGGCAAGCACCGCGAGCAGCGGAGCCAATTTTTCCTGCGGGTGCGGGTCCCAGCCCCGGCGGAGCAGGGCTGGGCGCTGGGACCCGACCCCTGATCCCCAATCTCCTTCTCTCTCTCCCTCTGCTGTTCTCTCCCTTTCCTTTGGGGGATCACAAATCCCAGAGCGGCCGCAGAGCCCCGTGCCCAGGCCGGGTTTCCCAGCAAAGGGAGGCTGGGGCTGAGGTGCCCCGGGCTGGCCGAGAATGGGGGCCCGGGGGTCCCCGGGGTCACGGAAACGGGGGATCCAGGGGCCGGGAGAGGAGGATACCCGGGAAAGGGGGTGCAGGGGGTGTTGGTGCAGGATAAGGGGGTGCAGGGGGGTGTCGGTGCAGGATAAGGGGGTGCAGGGGGGTGTTGGTGCAGGGTAGGGGGGTGCAGGGGGGTGTTGGTGCAGGGTAAGAAGGTGCAGGGGGTGTTGGTGCAGGATAAAGGGCTGCAGGGGGGTCCCAGTGCCCGGGAATTGGGTGAGGGGGGCAGGATCTGTGAAATGGCAGCAGCTGCTGGGGAGGGACTGAGATGGACTGGGATGGACTGGGACAGATTGGGAAAAGAACCCACTGGAAGCAGAACTGAGGCACCAGGGATCATACTGGGATATACTGGGACCACACTGAGGGTGACTGGGAGCAACTCAGAGCATGCAGGGGACAATTGAGATATACTGGGAGGGACTGGGAATGGTTTGGATAATCCTGGGACTGACTGCAATCATACTGGGAGTGATCAGATCTGTAGTAGAGGTGAAGAGGAGAAACTGGAATAATGCAGGGAGCAACTGGGATGATACTGGGAGCAGCTGGCCCATGCTGGGGTCATACTGGGATCATATTGGGACTGATGGGGTCACACTTGGAGTGACTGGCATAGTACTGGGAGTAACTGGGATCACACTGGAGGTGACTGGGGCCACAGAGAGCTCTTACTGAGAATGAAAGGAACCATACAGGGCATGACTGGGAGCCACTGGGACCATGCTGGGGGCAATTGGGATCCTACCGGGAGTAATTTGGAACATACTGGGAATGACCGGGATCATCCACGGGGTGACCGGGACCCCACAGGTGACGCGGCGGCGGAGCTCGGAGGCGGCCGCAGCGCAGGTGGGAGCCGTGCTGGGTTGTGCGGGGGCTCGGGGCTGGCTGCGGGCCTCGGGGGCGGCAGGGGGCTCAGGCGGGTTCGTTGTGCCGTGTCCGGCCCGTGTTGCCGCTGGCGTGAGGGCGCTGCGGGAGCGGCTGCCCGCGGTCTCCTTGCCGTCGCTGCCTCGGCAGCAGCCGCTGCCGGAGCAGCGCTGGCTGGGCCCGGTTGCTGTGGCTGGGACAGAGGGGCCTGCCCCGTGCCCGGAGGCTGCGCTGGGGCTGCCTCCGAGCTCCGTCGCCGCCTCACCGGGCACCGACCACTGCGAGCGCTGGCAGGCCCGCACGAACACTCCGGTAATGGCGGCTCTGCCGAGCCAAGGCCGCCCTCAGGGCGGCACCAGGGGCCGTGCTTGGCCCCGCTCCCACCAATCACCGCGCGAGCTCGAGGAGTGACGGCAGAATCAGCCAATCGCGATGAGGGGCGGGCTGTGCACACGGCACGGGCCCGCCTCCCTTTCCCCGCACTCGGCATTTCCCGGCAGCCGCGGCTGAGGAGCGGCCTCGGCGCTGGGCCCGGCCCGGGCAGGAGGCCAAGGAGCCGCTGGTGCTGCCCCGAACCGCCGGGAGCTCGGTGTGACCGGG